GATGGAGTCCCCGTGTGCCGCGGGGTCTGGCCGTGTCGGGACAGGAGCGCAGCGATTCTGTGGGGAGGTGTCGCGTCAGGCCCTGCGGGAGCCCGGGTGCTCCGGTGTTACGATGGGAGCGCCCGGGTCGGTGCCAGGTTTCCGTCCCCAGAGAGCTGTTGGGCGCTTGAATCCTGCAGGTGTTCGGCAGGAAAGCCGAGCAGCATCTGTTGTGTTGAATGCTCTGTACCACCTAGATTTTGAGCAGGGCTAATAACTGCGTAATTGAGTTTTGAAGTCCAAAGCAGTTAACCTGGGAAAGTTGTCATACCTGTGAAATGCTGTCAAGATGGGTGTTTTTAAATGCATGTTGATAAAGCCGAGTTCAGATAAGTGTGTCGAGTTTCCTAACTTGTCTGAATCCTTTAAGCATATCTGAGCGTGTGATTTGATTTGCTTTTCAGCTTAAGAATGCTTTTTAGGCTTTAATCTAACTTTCTGTAACTCTTAGTTCTTAGAGGTCTAAAATTAACCTTAAAAACACGCACCTCTCTGTATTTTTTTTCTGCTGACCAGCTGATGTACCTGACTGCTTCTCCTCTTCCCCACAGGCACCATGGTGCGCATGAACGTTCTAGCCGATGCTCTCAAAAGCATCAACAATGCAGAGAAACGTGGGAAACGCCAAGTTCTCATTAGGCCGTGCTCCAAAGTAATCGTCCGGTTTTTAACTGTGATGATGAAGCACGGTAAGTGTAGAGGGCACAGCGCTGCCTCGCTGCTGTTGCGTTAAGGTGCTTTTTGACTAAAAGTAAATCAAGATGCTTGAACAAGTTGTGCATTGTAGTTAACCGAGTTGTGTTAATGTAGCAAAGTGTTCTGTGTTTGATTTGCCTTTTTTGCTGATCTTTCATAGGTTACATTGGAGAATTTGAGATAATTGATGACCACAGAGCTGGGAAGATTGTTGTCAATCTCACAGGCAGACTCAACAAGGTAGGATTTGTCTTCCTGAATTCAGTTCTCCAGGAAGGTGTTTAAATGAGATGACTTTTTATTTATTTATATGTTTGTCTGCTCTAGTTCTGAAAGTATGACTTTTAAAGAAGTTGTTATTTATTGAATCTATGTAAATGAAAGCAATATGGATGTTAGCAGCGGTTATCAGATGTTTGTTAATTTCCCTAGGTTTATAATGGCATGGCTGGCTATTAAGTTTCTTTTAAATTCTGAATCTTTAAGACAGATTTTCAGGGAAGTCTGCAAGTGCTGTGTGTTTCTCTTCAAAGGCTTTCTGGTTCTGTAGTGATTTATCAGTTTCTTTGGTGTTTAAGCTGTCTAGAAGGTTTGTCTTAGGAGGTAGCAACTGAGTTGTTTTCCTGTTGATGTCTAATATGTGGAAATGTTGACAAGACAAACCTTTCTCCTGCTGCTAGATAGGCTTTACTTGCAGATGTGGGAACGTGGAATCTTACATTACTGGTGCTTATTAAGTTCCTGAGGCATTCACAGTGTTCATGTGTGTGTTGGAAATTTTTTGGATGATTTTATCTCAAAAGACTGAGCTGTCTAGTTCTGTGATGACTTGCTGTGCATCGTAGTTTCCAGCTCCACTATTCAGTTAAGCTTCTTTACTAAAGAAATAAAAAAATTACTTGGTCAAAATATGTTGGGGACTATCTCCACAATGAATGAATATTTCAGCTGAAAATTGCTTGAGTGTAGCAGGCAGAGAATTTTGACACTGCTCAGATCACTGGTCTTATGTATCTGTAATAAGTATAATGTCTGTCAAATTTGAGTATAATGTTCCTTGAACTCTCCTGGGGTGATTTTATAACAAATCTCCTGGGGTGCAGCTGGATCGAATGCTTTTCTCAATAGTAGTGATAAGGGTACACTTGTTTGGTCCAGAGGAGTGTTCGTCAGTGCAGGACGGTGTGCTTCTGTTTTGCTCTTGGATATTTTTGAGATGATCTGAGCCCGTGAGGTAACTGGAGGTGGTACTAGAGGTCGTGGTCGGGAAGGAATACAGGCCACTTGAAAACTTTGCTAACTTTTGTGCGTGTTGATTTCTCTGGTTAAAATCCACAGGTGTTTTTTGCTTACCACATTTGGTGATTAGAATACCCCTGAGTAGTCGCAGGATTTTTTCATGATACAAGAGGGTGCTTAATAATCTTTAGTGGTTTATAGTATGCTTTTGTGCTGTCCCAGGCCTAGCCATTAATTTGTTAGTTTAGCTTCAGCAGCAGTCTTAGTGAATTTAAATGAGGAGGAGGAGGCAAGGCCAAGGAAGTAACAGCTGAATGGCTGTGGGAGACTCTGAACACTGTTTCATAGTAAGCATAGTGGAGGTGCTTCTTGGTACTCTAGTCTTTTGCTGCCAAAAATACTGTAATTGCAGTTGTTAAATCCTTTCATCCAGTGAATTGCAATGACAAATGTGCAAATCCAGTTTACGAAGTCTGTAATGGAATTCTGTTTTATAGTGTGGTGTAATCAGTCCCAGATTTGATGTTCAGCTGAAGGATTTGGAAAAGTGGCAGAACAACCTACTGCCTTCACGTCAGTTTGGGTAAGTTGCGAGAAGTTAAATCCGTGCCATATGTAAAAAAGTGGGGGTGGGTTTATTACGGTTTTGTACTGCCTGTGTTAGCCTGGCTTGACACCTTTCTTCTCTGATCAGTCTGCAGGTAGATAATGGTCTAAAAATCCATCGTCTGTGTAAATGCTCCTTTTAACCGGTTTTAAAGGGGCACTGCTAAGCAGGACCTGTTTTTACTTGACTTGGTTAAATCCCGTTTTCACAATTTCTGCAGTTTACTGGGAAAATAGAAACTTTCCACTTACTCATTTTAGTTTTAATATTGAGCAGTTATAGATAGGTGAGGAATCATGTAAGTTAGCAGTCAGTCGAGGTGGGTCATATGGCTTCGAATTAAACTTCCTGACCGCGTATGAATTGATTAGATATTAAGTGATGAGAGACTTGGAGCCTCTGCTGAACAGACACCTACAGCATAGAAAATCTTACTACTGTGCAGCGTATTTTTCGTTCCCAAAATTGACTGAGTGAAATCTCAGTGCACCAGGATGACAGAACTGGAGGTGTCTTCAGAGGCTCAGCTGGTCTGAGGCAAAGACCGGATTAACAGTTCCTTGTCGTTGCTGTTCTTCAGACTCTGGTGATAAGCTGCTTGCTTCAGCTCTACCTGTAGAGCTTATTAGTGTGTGTTGTCATATTTTTAGGATTATTTATAGAGTGGTAGGACAAGAGGTTCTCGAACACAAAGCTGTGTGGATGAAGGATGCTGGTAATCCAGACATTGGCATCAGCAATGACTGAGGCTGCTTCGGTTGTCAGTCTGGCTCCTGATCTTCATCTGCATCAGTGCTCGGTGGTGTTCAAAACATTGAGAGACAAAGTGCTCGGAGTGGAGGAGCTGTCTGGCACCATGGCAACTCTACCTGCTCTGAAGAAAAATACCTGCTTAAAATAGAAGCAGGCTTTGTCTAGAAACTGGAGTTGCTACTGCCACAGCAGCTGAGCTGACTTTGCAGTGGGAATGCACAAGAAAACTTCTTGCTGAGACTTAGCAAATACTTGGATAACAGAAGTGCTGCAGAGTTGTGCTTGTGAGAGGAGTTTCTTTTTCAGTCTCATAGCCAGTTGTTACCACTGTGAGGTCCATTCTTACAGAAGCTGATCTTTTTCTGCCGCAGTACAGAAATGAAGTTAGTGCTGTCAGCTCTGCACAGGTGTAGAAGATGATAAACTGAACCGTCTGCTCTTTCTTCACAGGTACATTGTTCTGACAACCTCAGCTGGCATCATGGACCACGAGGAGGCTAGGCGAAAACACACAGGAGGCAAAATCCTGGGATTCTTTTTCTAAAACTTGTAAAAAAAGAGGATACTAATAAATCGTTCAAATGGACGCTGATGTTGCCAGTCGATATTTTAATGACTTTGAATGCTACCTGTAGTAGTGCTTGTGACAGACAGCTCCTCCATAGGGCTTAAGTTCCAGCTGTACTTCACCTGATGTTTGGGTTCCACACCATCCCTGGTCACAACTTTTTATTCCTGTTTTGATACTGAGGTACTTCTAATAGTTACCACTTGAATGACAGTTCAGGTTGCTGTACAGAACGGCCTCAGCAGGGGAACACTAATGTTAAACTATGTACTTGGCTGTCATGTGGTGGGATCACCTCTTGGGTGTTGTGTACACGTCTCATTGCTGTATACAAGTGACACTAGTTTCACTTTCTGGCTGAATAATAGGAGGTATTTCCTGTTCATCAGTGAAGAAAGGTAGGATTGTGGAATAATTAAAATGACCAAAGTGTAAGGAGTAACTGAGGTAGAGGGGTGGATAATTTTTTTTTTCCAGACTTCTACTTTCAAAGTCCTTTGAAGTGTAAGAGCTTTGAGTAGGGTAGTTGCTGTACCTCTGCTTTACATGTTGTCACAAAGACATAACGGACTTCTTTTTAATATTTGGGATTGAGGAAGTAAGGATATCTGAACTTAAGGTGGTGAATATTTTGCATTGGATGAGTTGTTAGCCTTTTTTTGGGGGCATCCGATACATGACAGTGTAATGCACTTGATACAGAAAAATCAACAGATGTCTTCTGAAGCAGCGCACAGAGCAGGGGACTGCAGCTGAAGAGCTGCTGGCAGATGGTAGAGAACAGGATGCCAGCTCCTGGCCTGGTGGCGTTACCCTTCAGCAGCAGTCAGAGCCCTTGCCTTACTTCGGTTTGTTGGGAGTCTTTATTAGGAGGGAGCTTTGTGGAATGCATCAAGCATCAACGCTTTAAAGCTGTTGAATTTGTGATTCACCTGATACAAACAATGGGAAGCAGTTTTCCTTCCTGGTGCTGTGTCCTCGTGCTTGTTACGTACAGTTGCTCGAGTTACGAGTATTGTTCCTTGAAGGTGATACTTCATCACAGAGCTTTTCAGAGAGCCTTGGGGTGGAAGTAACTGACGTCGGCACAAAGTCTTTGTAATTCATAATTGTAGCCTGTTTCAGTTCAGTCTGTTACTTTTTATGGAGAAAAGGAGAAGGTGGTAATTGTGGCTAAGCAGACAGGTCTTCGCTCTTTGTAGGCAGGCAGCACAGTCTCCTGATGCTCCGAGGAGCAAGAAGCTACAGAGCTGTGGAGTGCTTACAGGCAGTGCTCCTGGTGTGTGCTGGTGTCCCGTAACAGATGTGAAGCTTGATTGAGACGAGCAGAGCACTAATGGAAAAGGCTCATTGACTTGTTTTGTCTCAGTCACCTGCTGGGTAAGGTCACGAAGTGAATTGCAGATGGCATCAGAACCTGGAAATGTGATCAGTATGGTTCTGTTGGATTTGAAACACATTTGCTTAGCTAGAGATCTGTACACTGAATTAGAAGGAGTAGTTACGAAGTCAAAAGAAGTTTGTCTTGACCACTTTTTTTATCATCAAATCAAGCTATTTAGTTACAGGTTGGGGTTTTTATCCTTAATGAAGGTAATTGCAGTACTAAGCACTGACACACACGTGAGCTTTTGCATTTTCTGCTCAGAGTAACCCTGAAGATCATGCCAAGATTTCACTGTTCCTGTTTCAAAACCAGTGATTTTTATCAGTCCAGAATAGAGCACATAATTCTGATACCTGATGGGAGGTCAGTGACACTTAAAGGCTTCATTTAGATGAACTTACTGTGGTTTTAGGTTTGCTAGTTTGTACCAATTTTTCGTAGGACACACACGCGTTTTCTGAATCAGTTTACCTGTGTATGTCCTTTACTACCGCAGAGGCTTCTGAAGTAAGAGTTTCTAATATTCTCAGTTGACGGACCAGTTGGGATTAGACAATTTATTTCATAAGCCAGCCTTACGACTTTTGCAGAATTACTAAATGGAAACTAGAGCTCCAGTGTAAAACGTGTGCCTTGGAGGGAAGCACGCAGCAGCAGTATATCCTTTTCCCCAGTCTATCTGACAAATGTAACTGCACACTGGCTTACCACACCTGGAAGCTGATGGGGCTGATCCGAGTTCACTGGATGATTTCTGAAGCTTGCACCTCACTGACCAGAGTTTTACTCCCAGGCCGTCGCTGCTGGCCGAGACCCAAGGAACTTCTGAAGTGGGACTTGGGAGCTGACATGTGTGATTATGACTTGCCCTGCCATGCAACTGCTCTATGTGGCTTTGCAGAAATTCTAAAATGCTTAAAATCTGGAAGTGGTGTTACATTTTTTAAGCCTTAGTGATGTTTTGTGGGCTTGGGGCGTATGCCTTAGGGAAGCAGTTTGTAGGTAGAAGTTAACTCATTCTGGGTAATGGTAGATAGGGAGAGGTGAGAGGGCAGTACAGGTTGCAACTGGCAATTAAGACCAAGTGTTAGTTCAGAGATGTTTGGTACCTGTGGAGCAGAGGGCCGTGTTCCTGATGGAGGAGTGCCCCGTGGGACAGGCAGCTGACCTTCATATGAGGAAAACAGGGCATGGGTGACACCTGGGGAAAAGCATCTGTGCCCTGAACCCCAGAATCGCTGAGTGTTACCTCTGGTGCTGTCCTGGATACCCAGCAGTGAACGAGTCCAGGAGTGATTGTGCCTCCTCTGTGCCCTTCTAGACCTAGAGAGAAGGCTCAGCCTTTGGCTGAATGTCTGCTGCTCCTTGCTAAGCCAAATCCGAACAGCTCGGTCTGTGCGAGCACGGTGAACATCGATGGCCCTAGTCAGAGGTGGTAAAATGGGGTCAGAACTTAATTCGAGTTGTGACAATCACTTATAAAGTCAGAAGCAGGTGGGAGAGGGTTGGTGACCCATTTGTCGGGTATGGCCTGGCCTCACTTCTGCTGTCAGATACGTGACCAGTATTTCTGGATGCTGACTGCCAGTGCTACCCATGCTCCAGTTTAGGAACAGGATAAAACACTGAAACGCCCGCAGTGCATGAGAAGTAGCTGCTTATCGCTGCCGTGGGCCGTTGTCAGCAGGTGGCAGCGACTGGCTTTGAATGGCCAGAGCCTGAGGGCGATCCCCCAAATCTGTGAAAGTCCCAGGAGAGCTTTGGCATCGCTGCTGGTATCCCCGCTCCTTCTGCAGAGCTAAATATCCTGACTTCTTCTGTACGCTGGTCCACAAAGATAGTTTCTTTCTGTCTTCGATGTAATAGAGCCTGATATAAGATGATGTGGGAGGTGAGAATAAGTACAGATCTTCAAAATACATTAACAGGGTAAAAACCCTGGTGCACGAGAGTGGCTTCTCTGGAAACGCACTTTCTCCTCCTGGTCCTTTTGCTTGTTTTCTGCCACAGGTAACTCAGTCAGCTCCGTTCCCCTGCATGCAGCGCGGGGTTTGTTCCTCCAACTCCCGCGCCAGTTCCTCCAGCAGATAGGCCAGCGAGAACTAATCCTCCATCTCTGGTCTCTGAGCAGTTCTCTCGGTGACCCTTTAACACCCACTGGAGCCAGCAAGGACAGACAAGGGTGTGGGGGGTGGATGCAGCAGAAAGCAGGGAAAGAAAATGGCTTGAAGTGGTGAGTGAGGCTTTAGAACTTACCCCGGGTGCTTTGGCACCGAGTAGTTATTTCACAGCAGTGAAAGAAGGAGAAATGGTGCGGCTGGCGCGAGACCCCTGGGTGTGGGATGCAGGAACGGGGGGCAGGAAGGGGGAGCACGGCGCTGAGCACGTCATGATGTGCAGGTGGGGCTGGTGGTAGAGGACAGGAGACATCGTTTATTTTCAAGGGGGTGCCAAAGCCAGTACTTCAGGGGTTTTAATTAGATTTGTGTGCCTTCAAAGGACAGGGTTTTTTTGTTTTGCCTAATTTAGAATGAAGACAAGGTTATCTATTGTTCAGTGTTTTACTGCCAATTAATGTAAATACCAGGCTCTCGGTAAGTACCTGGATGGATTTCTTCTAGAAGAGCCAAGGGGTTTCAGAAGCTTGTGGTCTCTATTCTTGCTCATGCCTCTGATGCTTTCTATGCTCAAGTGCTGTCATTCTACTCATGCATTTTAAAAGAGAACTTACTTGGTGGTTACCCATGGTTTTGAAAGCTGTCGTGGCGTTCTCGATCTGACTGCGCTGGCTTTAGCAGCTACCGAGTGACTCCTGCCCAGTGTGTGGCTGCTAACTTGGACCTATATAGTTTTATATAGGGAGCACAAACGAAAATCTGTACTAGTGGAGCATTGTGATGCACAGGGCAAGTGCATCGGGTTGTGAGGAGAGGGTGGGCACAGCCAGGTAGAGGTGGCAGCCACCAGGAATTTCACCATCTCCCAGGGGTTACAACTCCACCGGGACAGGCTGTACTGACTGGCTCTTTTGTCACATAGTACCCAGAATTGGGCAGATATTTGATTAGCAACTAAATTGCAATCTGGTAAAATGTGATACTTGTGGTACCACAGGTTCCAGCTGGGTGCTGGTGCTCCAGGGTGCTGACTCTCCTTGGTGTGCTCCTCTTCCTTAAGCAGAGAAGTGGATGTCCTTAATTACCTGGTGAGTGTTCCAGCTGCAGTTTCACTGCATGAAGGGAAATCTGCAGGCCAAAAAATACATGCAAAATAAAAGTGGGGAACATAATACTTGTGTCACTAAGAGAATTGTTCCACCTTCTAAAATCTGAGTTGGGAAGTAAATTCAGAAAAGACACTCAGTTATCTTCCCTGACCTCAGTATAACAAAGGCCCTAGACCTCACCCCTGTTGAATTTCACCCAGTTGAGCTCTTTCCAGGTGTAAAGGAGCGAACAAGAACAGGAGAGTATGCTAGTGGTGAAGCTGCTTTTACAAATGGAGCAAAGCTATGATGGTTACTCCCACCAAGCATCAAGCAAGTTAAAACCTGTTTTGCAAAATCTCTGCTGTGCCAGTGACCAGCCTCAGTCTAACAAGGTAATCAAATTCACATCTGCTTTCTTCTACA